CGCAATGGTTCGTCATCCCTCTGCCGGATGGTATACAGGTCATCGGCAGAGTACAGTCTGTCCGTCTGAATCATGAAGTGGTTCAGGAAGATTTGCTTCAGCTCGTCGAAGGAATCGACTGTCCCCGGTTCCAAACGGTAGAACCAATTCAGAGCTGCTTCCGTGAGTGAGGAAGGGAACATAAGGCACAGGCCTTCGTCGCTTAGCCCTCGGTACCCCACTGCCGATTGAAAAGAATGAAGGTGTGTCAGTGGATCCTCCACCCCTGTGTAAGGGGTTATGCTGAGGGGCTGTACGTCCCTATCCTGCCGTGAGTGCCTTATGCGCTCGGTGAAGGGTCCTGGCCGAAGCCTTCCCCAGTCTGGCTCCTGTGAACGAGTCCGATCGTCCTCCATCTTCTGTACCCTTTGAAGGAGGAGGCGAATGATAGGGTCCCTGTCCGGTATCTCCTCTGAAATCTGATGTGCCGATCGCTGCTGGGATCTAACAGGATTGACCTCCGAGAACTTCGTCGGGGTTGCCGAACGGTAGGAAGATGACCGGTTGGTGGAAGGAGTGTACTCTTGGTCAGACTTGATTCCAGGACCGGTATCCTCCGTATCGGAGACTTCCTCCCCATGCTTCTCAGTTGGGGATCGTCTAGGCGTGCATTGATCCTGACCGGCGATTCCTGCCGTTCGGACTGCCGTTCGACTTCCCGCTCCAGCAGCCTGTGTCGGCAATCGGAATAGACCTTCTTCGGCACATGGGCCTATTTTTGGGTGCCGGGACCACCAATTGTTTAGATGGCGCAGGCATTGCCTTTGCCGCCCTCTTTCCCTTCTTCTGCCGGCGAGGGGTCTGTAGGCTTTCGGACGATCGATCTGTCGGCATGTTTTGCGTTTGCTGCTGGTTCAACAGCAGTTGTGTTTCTTCCACTCTGGTCGAGAGGAGATTATTGTGTTCTTGCATCCTAGCCATGTCCTGCCGAAGGGACACGACTTGGGCTAAAAGCTCCGCGTTTTCAGCGGCTTGGGTCGCAGGGGTATTAGTTGCCGGTGTGTATGGGGCTGGCGCGGGGCTAACCCCGCTTGGCATGCCGAACGGCATCCCCACCCGCGGTACGAACGTAGTTTTTTCAGTGGTCCCCATGTGTTCGGGATAAAGGGTCGATTTGTTTAATCGTTTCCCACAGACGGCGCCAAACTGTTGACGCCAAAAAGTGGTT